GATATATATATATATATAATATTGTTTATTCTGATATTTTTCAAATGGTTTAAAACTCAGTGTACAAGTGACAACAATAAAACCCATATGTTGGTTGTGAAACAGACTAAATACATTCATCTCAATAATACAGGGAAGCTATGACATTCTCACAGTTGTAGTCTCAATACACTGAAGAGCTAAAGTTTCGAATTCCAATATAAATCTTGCCTATAATGAGAGGAATGTGACCAAGACTAATCTTTTAAATGCCGTAAAGTAATTTTCTTTGTAATTTATTGTGTCTGTATGGTTTGGTAATCTCTTCTAACAGGATGTATCAAGTAACAAGGAGTCAGGCTCAGGCGGTGTTTATTGAAACCACCTGCACTATAAACTGTTACATACATTCGCTAGTAGTGGCAATTAGTTTTGTGTCTATAGTGAAACAATATACACAGACATATGTTGAAATAAACTTGTTTGAAAGTTCAAAGAAATGATATTCAAGTACCGAAAAGCTTTCTTACTATCATATCTACAGTAATGTTCAAATGTGCCCACACTGGGCTGAACGAAAGTGACCCCAACAGGGGTGAGATAATTTACAAATAACGTACAAAGTTCACGCTGCTAACCCCACGGTTTATTATTCGGCACAATAAACAAAAGTACCGCTGCAATGAAACATAAACTTTAAATAAAAATATATTTATGAAACAAAATTAAAATGTTTTTATATAAACATGAAATCCCAGTTAAAAATAAAAATACTCATTTATTGTTTAGATTTATTTACAAATATTATTTTCGGGTCTTGTATATTACTTGAAACCATAAGGAGAGTATGCGATTATTAAAAAAAATCAAAATAAATAAAATTTGCATTTTATGGATGATACAATTTTTTGGGGATTTCAAAATAATGTGTTAAAACATAAAATAGTAATAACTTCAAATGTGCAACAAATATAAATATTGTAATGTAATCATTTCTTATAAATACCATTTCCTAATGTAATTTTCCAAGATATTAAAGATCATAATGCAAAAAAACTAAATGTATGAAAAGCAACAGGCTTCATGTTTCTTAAACTACATGCATTTATGAAAGTTCTTATGAAGTTTCAAACAATTTCATCCACTAGTTTTATTGTTGGAATGAAATATAGCAAGACTTGCATTGCCTACTAAGAAAGTTTGTAGCCAGTAGTCATTTGCTTAGATTCTATGCACGGGATGCACATGCAACTGTTTAATCAAATTTCTACGTTTTTCTCATCCATTCACAAGTCTAATGGGAAATTTCATGGAATAGAAGATTACATCGTGGATTGTGGAAATGGCATCACAATATCAGAGCTGATAAACAATGCGACAGAACAAGTTAAATCTTCAGAGGTAAAGAAAAGTTTACATGACTTCCTTAACAGTGGCTCTAGACAACAAGCAGATTTTGACAAACAGTGGCTTCTAGAAACAACGAAATGTGAAAGCTTTTGGGATATAGTTTCTCGAGCCAAAACACTGACATGTGCAGGTCACTGACACTAAAGAGGTCAGAGTAAAGATTTTGGAATTTGGAGGTTTGTTGTCTCAAAAGAAAGAGATAGGAATCTGAAATTAGTTTTTCAGCACAAACTTATTACAGCCCCGTCTTTTCTCTTTCACGACGATGTGAAAGTTACAAATTCTAAACTGACAAAGAGACTGGAATCTACATGCAAAAAGATCCACAATCTGCTTCCAATGAATACCAAAAGCCTATATCGCTGATGACATGGCTTTTTTTTTTGAAGCACTGCATGAGTCACATTTTATCTCATTACCTTTCATCTCACATCATCTCACTTTCATCTCACAAAGTCATACAAAGCCCTCTGGAAAATGACATTGCCACTGCAGCTATTGCAGTGACACTTGACAGGCATAACAACCTGCAATTCTTCAAGAATCAGGAAAGGCAAAGATGATGGGATCAATCAATGGGCTAATCCTGTGATTACAGATGAGCATCCTGTATCAAATTACAGAAATTTCATGAAGAATTCTGGAAACAAAGTAGCATTAAAAGAGTTTGTTTCGAAGCATATTGTGTAGATTGGTTCTAACCTCTTGGGTGGAAAGAACGTCATTATTTCTGGAGGCTTCTTCAGTAGTCTTCTGGCAAAAATGGTTTGCAAGACCAGTATTACAGACATGTTCGCCATGTACTCCACTCATGAAGAAGCAGACACCAGAATGGCATTGCATTCAATAGATTTTTCATCGACATTTGAGCATATTATATTGAGGTGTTGTGATACTGATATATTGGTGCAACTTTTGTGCAGTGTGAGAAAAGCCATGCTTGTCTCAATTTGTGTACATTCCTTTCAGGATAAGATTTGTATGAAAATTTGCCAGTGGTATATACACCTACTAGATGTGACAGTACTAACGGTTTCTTCAAATTTAGCAAATGCAGTGCTTATAGAAAGTTTACTGACGATGTCAAGGTAATGCCAACAGCTCTAAAAGGCTCTGCTGCTCGATAGTTAACCATTTCTCTGTATGGTACTAGGCACAGTACACGTGAAACTTTGGACAAGTTAGGATACGTACTGGCTTTAACTACAAAGAAATCATCTCTCCACCCACCATCAAAGGATGCTTTCAGAGAACAACTAATACGAGCTGGGTTTCGAAATGGTTTGGTGCAAATCTCACACTCCCAATCCTTCATTGTGTAGACCTGTCAGGAATGATGGGCATCTCGCAGAAGAAAACTCTCTCGAATACTGTTGTACACCAGAGAAGCGGCCCAGGTTGAGGTGCTATAACTTATTAACTTCTTCTGTAGAGACAGTGTATGTAGTACGAGCAGAAAATACCTTAATTACTTAATTTGCATAAATGTTTTATTCATCCTAAAGAGAAATTGAAGTGTTATAATTCGACATTAAGTATGTCTTTTTATCTTTATAATTGTTGAAGATATAGATGTAAATGATCAAAATTTGTTTGTTTTAGATCAAAGCCACACTGGACTGTCTACTGTGTCTTCCGCAGGGAATCGAACTCTGAATGTTAGCGTTGTAAGTCCGTAGATTTACTGCTCTCCCATCGAGGGACAGGATATGAATGAAATCAGTTTTATTGTGAAACACAAGAACAAAACAAGTGGAACTTAACAGCGAATTCTACGGTTTTTAAGATGAACAAAACGCTCATATGAAACAATTTCATAAACTATATATAACCCACTATTCAAAATCTTTAGAGACTTGAATTTGTATTTTTTGTCCTTAACAAAGTTATAGTTCGTCAGAAACTGTACTCAGTATTTATTGTAGCATCTCTTGAAACAAAATTTTCTGAACTTTGTATAGATTAGCAAAAAATGATAAAATTTAATTGCCATTCGTAACATTCCGTTTCCTTTACTTAGAAAGTATAAAGAAATTACAGAATTAATAAAAATAATGAAAGTCATCTAAATTTACTTATTTATTATCGTAATACGTGCTCAAAACGACGTTCACCATTTAGTTTCTGTAATGTGTGATATAAATATATACAGCTTTCTTTAATTGTTTTTAACAATTACATTGTGATATATATATATATATATTGATTTAGTGCTACACGCCCCCAGTGTCTGAACGGTAAGTCTGAGGGCTAGTAACGCTAGAAATCTGGTTTTGATACTTGTGATGCACAGAACAAAGGTTGTGTAGTTTTTGACAAACAACAGATTTTACACATATTAATTATGTACCTAATGCTGCATTGTGTAACTGCCTACCTGAAATCCTCCGGTAGGTCAATGGTAAGTTTGAGTTAAAATCCCGCGTTCGATTCCCTGTGATTGTCAGTACATATACCTATTGTCTACCTGGATTCAAATATTTGAAACTTCGTTAATTGACATAATGATACTTATGTTTTACCTTTAAATTATAATTGAATGCTGTAAAATAATTTGATTAACATTCGTGATATTTAATTTACATCAACGTCGTTTCTTAGATACGCATTTTAATATACTAAAAAATAACAAAATTAAAACATATGGTTTCTAACGAATTTTTTTTCTGATCTATTGAAGCTGATCAAAGACTGAAGAATATACTGCAAGATGAATGTATGGGCTTAGGAACTTAGAAAATATACACAATGACGTTTTGTTGTTGTTTAAAAAGCTTAAGTAAGCATATTAACAAAATATAAACGGTGAACTTTAATGTGACGATTATAATGAAAAAATAAAATACCGGGTCTTCATTTTAATTTTCATGCTTTATACGAATGATATTTCACAAAAGCAGTCTCAATATCTTTTGTTGTTGTTGTTGTTGTTTTTTACATTGTGCTCACGAAACTCCAAGCACGAATTACTTTTACACAAAGAACTTCATTAACACTAATAAATTACTTGAGAAACATTATTGTCATCATAAACTATACACGATTACTTTGATAAGCAGAAAACTCCCAAACAACTAAATTCTGGTGTTCCGGAACAACCAGAATCAGCTATATTACTTTTTTACACGTTTAAATCCAGAGGCCGGTCGGCCACAAGGAACCTCAAAAATTCTTGTTGAGCTGTATTCTTCGAAAGATTTTTGTTTTTTAACACTTATATATGGCCTTAATCAGTGGCCATTTTTCCTTTCACGGCTTGTAGCGTGGATTAGCAGTAAACGAGTAATTACATTACTTTTAAACTTCTTATTTTTCTGAATTTGTTTCTAAGACGGGTAATAGATGCAATAAACGTTGGGTTGTAAGTGAAAAATGATTAGTTTAAGGTGTGAATTGTCTGTTGCTAAGCGCAAAGCTACACAATGGGCTACCTGTGCTCTGCCCACCAAAAGTATCGAATCCCGGTTTTACTGTTCAAGCCTTCAGACTTACCACTGTACCACTGGGAAAGGAGTTGTGAACTGTTTGAATAGTGATTATTAGTACATATTATAGGTTATGATGTATTGAGCACAGCGCCCTGTCAGTTTTTTTTCCGTGAACCCCTCACTCTCCTTCAACCAGATTGTAGGGGTATTATAAAAATAATTTCCCCGTGCCGTTTTTAATCCCCAATCCGCCCTTGCAACAAGCTTTTCATTTCAAAATAAACAGTTCGTTCACAGCATGTAGCTCGTTCACAAAGCTTAACCTGGCACACAGCATATTAGTGTTTTCACCCGGACATCGTTCATGGTAATTGTTCAGACATACAGAAATCCAATGGTGCGAACTTGTAATGTTATTATTTATAAATTATGCAAGTGTGTCTTCGTTCAAGCGTTATATCTGTTCTACCAAAAGGTGGCTTCACACTCGTGTTTAAGTAAATGTAAATATCAATGAAACAATGAAGTGAAGTGCATTGAAATGCGCTTTAGGGACGTGTGACCCAGTTTTCTACTTAAATTCTTTAAAAATCTTAACATTTTATTAGAAGGGCGATCACATATAAACTAAACCAGTGAGATGAAAATTAAATGATTCATGAATTAAACATAATCTTTATGGTATTATATAGTTTGTAATGTACACTAGTCAGAGTCCACTTGAAACCTAAAAATTAGTAACATGTTTTATTAAGAAAACACTGACAAAAATTTCAGATACAAACTTTTTCTCTTTCCCTTGAGACACATGAACGTTAAAACTTGGAGTACTAATAAATATAATCATTTAAAGTTTGTGATCATAGCTTTATTACGTATTCTAACTTCAAATTTCCAAATTTGTGATAATAGTTTTTATTACGTATTCTAACTTCAAATTTCCAAATTTGTGATAATAGTTTTTATTACGTATTCTAACTTCAAATTTCCAATGAAACACATTAACTTATAAAAATAAGAATTTTATAATAAGCGTATTATGATGTGAAACTCTTTACGTCTTTTTTTCTAACAATATCTCTTATAATCCAATTGCAAAATGCTATGCGACAGTTGGGTCTACTGTGACTCGTTTTTAGAAAATCATTTGTCAATTTTCTGCCTTCTGAACTAACAGAGTTGGCACTTCACTGTATCGTCACTCCCTAAAAACAAACAGTGACTTCAGTGGCAGTTTCCAAGGTAAACATGTATATCTATAATCCGATGAGCCATCATCTAACTTGCTATTCTAAATTTGAATAAACAATAACATCGTACTAAATTCGAAAATCGAATGTTCAATAAACTTGAATTTCGCCTATTGCATTACGTAGAACTAGTGTGTACGTATGTTTTTACCGCGACAGAAGTAAACTATTTATTTAAATGTTTTATTCTGTGAAATAAATCAAGTTTTTTTTTTTTGTTTAGGAAAGTGGAATAAAGTAACGCAGGAAATTATAGCATAAAACAGTTTGTACGAGAACTATATCGAATTAATATGTAAGAAATAATCGTCCCATTTGTCACCTCATACATCTTTAGACACCAAAATATCAGTTAATTAGGCATAATTACTGTCATCTAGGTCTTGCTTTCTCGAATATAAACACTAGGAGATTTCACGACCAGTCTGTTACCATTCGATGTTGGTCCCATTCTCGGTAGATGAATAAAGTTAGAACGATTTTTGACGTCATTATTCAGGGAGGAAAAATAAATATAATAAAAACAACACTTACTATATAATGTATGATGCATCACTGGAACCAATACTATTTATAAATACCTCTATTAAAAAGCGTATGTGAAATTCTTTCTTGTATTCATGTATTACTTTGGGATTTTCTTTACCTTCTTGATGCTAGCACCTCAGATTTTATTTTGTAGCAGAAATAATACCTTGAAATATAATCAATTGATAGCTCTTGGGCAAACGTTAGGGAACTTGGCCAAGGAACTTCGAATCAGGCATCTCTATGTTTTACAAGACCATGGTAAGAATATAGTTAATTATAACTGTTGTAATAATTGTTCGTTATAACTACGAAAAAATTCAAGGATAAAAATAGACAGTAAAAGCAAACTGGAGCGGTTATTGCTGGTGTCGGGCGAGTAATTGTTTTTCTGTTCACACTATAATGATATGATACTGGTTTGTGTTTTAGTAGAACGTTTCTGAAGAAGTTGTAAAGCGAAACGTTGAGTATCCAATTAAAGAAAAATCACGCATTTGGTGTAATATGGTCGTTTATTACTAGTACTATAATAAAATGTCAGATCTTTATAATTTCATTATCGTTAGTTTTTACAGCTGTACTCTCTATATTCGATCATAACTTCTAATTGTCTTCTGTCATCTTAAAAGAATTAAGCAAACATTTAAGCACTATCATAACTATTATTAATACGATTAATAAACAAGTTATTTCAGACAAAGTCTAAATCTGTCTGTCAACGTTCACTTCTAATCAAAGCAAGCTACTTATATAGATTACAATTAAAAATAAACGCAGTAATGAGTATAACTAATAAAAATATACAAAGTAGTATTTCATTAGTTGAGTACCCTCGCTGTTAGCAATGTTTCGGTCGTAATACCAATAATATATCATAATATATTAAACATTCTAATTCATATATTTAGTGAAGATAACATTACAGAAACAATACAGTATACTTTACTTACGGAAAATATAAACACCGGCGGTTTGTTTGATGCACTACTTACATTTAATGTTCCCCGAAGAACTAGACGCCTACCGATAGCTCAGTGGTAAATATGAGGGCTTATGAGCTAAAAATCAGGTTTCAATTCTCACGATGTGCAGAGTACAGATATCCCATTATGTAACTTTATGCTTAACAACAAACAAGAAATATCTTCCCTAACAAAGTCTTGCAACCAATGAAAGCCAATTAAACGGCAAAACTGACATCTTAACTTTATAGAGTAGCTTGACATCTAAAATAGCAAGATAGTACAGACAATAAAGCAAAAAATAAAACATTTAATGTTAATGAAGATAAAAAATAATAAATAGACTAAATAATTGACAGAATCATACAATAAACAGCAAGAAAACTGATACCCTAACTAAAACATAACCATGTTAATTGTAATGAAAATAATAAGATTTAGCGCAAAGCTACACAGTAGACTATTTGCGCTCTGTTCACCTTCAGGAATTGAACCCTACCTTTTAGCGTTATAAATCAGCAAACTTACCACTGGCCTACTGAGAAAAGTGGGGTTAACTATATATTCAATTTGATACTCTAATTAAAACACAATCAATTTAAATGTAATAGAAATAATGTTATACTATAAAGGATTAGTTTAAAGCTTGAATTAACTACAGTATAAGCGTAAACTAACACGTTTATTTGTAGTTAAGCACAAAGCCACACAAAGAGCTATTTGTGCTCTGTCCACCACGGGTATCTAAACCAAGTTTATAGCGGTGTCATTAACAGGAGGTAGCCACTAAAGGTAGCCACTACACTATACTAGAATGGTGGTTAATTATTAACTTAAACAGTTTCCAAGAGATCGAATTGTAAACACAGTACTTTTGAAGAGGTCGTGATATTCTGTGAAACTTTTAAAATTCATAATTGGTAGAAAAAGATTGTTGAATCTTTCGCAAAAATTAATGAATCTAGTGTTCAAAGGCTGTAGGAGAATCTTCATTTGTGAATAATTATAATGAGCTTAAGATTTGTCTCGTAAATCGTGTAGTATATAGCGTGACCAGTAAATATTGTAACATAACTTATTAGGAATATTTGTATTGGCAAATGGAATGTTTAGAACTTTAAAATTGCTTATTGTATTAAAACTTTTGAATTTATATGTTTAATTAATGATAATGATACAAAACTTAGGTAATATACTTTGTTTTTAGTAAAAAAAAGAAACATTTTGTAGATTATGGTTGATAAACTTGTCTGATGTGTAAAGAAAACCTTGATAGCAAGGTAAAATAATATTACCAGCATCCCCACTAATGCGACTAATGTAGAAAACGTTACTATAATCTTTCTTACTAGGATTGGATATATGAAAATTCCAGTTTGAATAAATATAAGGTTGCAACTTCTGGATTAGTGTCCTTTCACAGTTATTTCTTGGAAGACATGTTGGCCGAATTGTACAAAAGTGTTGTCAGATAAATAATACAAAACTTGTAGGAATAGAATATATATTATATATATACTTTATTTATACCTCAAAGCCTCTAATCTTCTCTTTATATTCAATGGAATTACTAAAGATAAGAACAGATTAACACCGG